CGCACACACGCACACACACACACACACACACACACACACAAAAGACAAACACATGGCGACAGACCTTCCACTATTGACACTAACCCTGGTCCATTTCATTGCATGTTGGCACAAACAGCCAATTCCGAATGACAATCCATATCTCATACCCTTTCCCAAACCACCCCTGCTTGGCGTGCTCGCCTGTTGCAATGGCTGCAGATAGATGTGTCGAACTCCGATCTCACACCGGACATTCGATAATTGGAATGCATGATCCGCGGTTTGCTTTATTCCCGTCGTCCGTATTCGAGATCTATGCTGGATTAGATTCAGTTCTCAAATTTTGTTAAGATTAGCACATGTATAAAGTTGCTCGAACTAAACTACGGGGCGTTCTCCCGATACTAGAGGTTGCAGAACTACATCCGCCTCCTGCTCTGGCCAAAGAAATGCATATCTGCGACAAGATGTTCTTGCCCATTCGTGTCTAGTTCTGTAACGTAACTGAGGTGCCAATTAGCAGAACACCCAATATTTCGCCTCCAGACCCTAGTGATTGTCGCTGACAAGCATTTCCGTGTTGTACAGACACTATTGATGGTCATGTAGCTACAGCGGACTGCTTTGTTATACCAGACACATATGCGGGCCCTATTCATTGAAGGCTCCGAGTACGGCCTCAATGTCGACACCACAGATGTGATAAAAGCACCGAAACTTGGTCTGGAGGAGGATATTGCTAAGTTCATAGCAACCATGAGATCGACATGTAACAATGACCCAATGATTACCAGTAATCTTGCTTTGCTACAGATAGCACACAATAATCATTTCAAGATGCCAACAGAATTTGTCTAGAGCCTTGTACCAAGTACTTACTCAGGCTGCCTCACCAATCACCAATACGTCTTTGAAGTAGCTACAACATCACTTCGCTATTGTTCCTTTTGATAAAACATCACATGATATGGCAATTTGCTGCAAATGCTGGTACGTATATAAGTTATCACAACATCCTGATAAATTTTGCCCATTCGTTCAACATTTCGTCGACCCTCTGTCTCAGACCTGCATGACATGCCCCGTCACAAACCCTTTGCAAGTACGACAATGGCCTCACGCTCACTTAGCTATGCCCTTCAAGGTGTGATCAAATCTTTGCGCATCAAGGACAGTGAGTTGTTCTCCATATATGCTCGCCAACCTCCGACATCATGTGCTGGACCATTTGCCCCCTCCTCCTACATACCCCGTCTTCTGTCCACATAAGGTGATGGAACCTCAACTGCCACCGGTGAAGGACCCCGCAATACTAACGCCAATGACATACTAGCTACATCGGTTTGATAATCACCCTGTACAAATCTTGTTGCATCACCACCGATCGGCCTCCGTGACGATCGACCTGAACCGCCACTCTCCACAACAACGGGACGCCCTGTACCACCCGCCCCAACATCACGCTCAACATCGAGTCCATAACATTCCTCAAACCCGCTTGAATCGCCCTCCATCGGTCTGATAATGACCATGTACAAATCTTGTTGCGTTACCACCAATCACCCCCCGTGACGATCGACCTGAACCGCCACTCTCCATAACAACGGGACGCCGTGTACCACCTGCCCCAACATCACCCTCAGCATTGAGTCCATAACATCCCGCCAACCCGCTTGAATCGTCCTCCATGTCAACCGCCTTTTGACTCAATCCATCGGTCGGTTGAAATGTGCCCGCCGCACAAAGTCCAACAACGATGTTGCACACGACCGGAACTCCATACTTAGACGCACCACAACCTCCTCCCAGTGCGGAGCCGGAGTCGACATTCGTCTGTCCTGACGACGGGGGTCTGTGAAAGTCGGGTGTGCCTAAGTTGTACTGTGCGTCGACTGTAGGTGAAGGCGGATCTGTAGGAATAGGCTGGTCGACCCCGCCCGCATCACAAGTTGATGCACCAGTCTCCAAGTCCCGAATTCGCTGCTGCAGCGCCATGTATGCATGTCTACCATCCCACTCTCTTTGCAACTGGTCCAGCCGCTACTACTCCTCTCGATCGATGCGGACATGAAGCTCCTCAGTCGACTCCACTCTATCAGCCTCCATTTGATGGTAGTCGACGTCATCCCCCACTCTCCCTCGCACGTGCGTCGCACAAAGAACACCGTTGCCAGAAGGTCCGTCTCCATGCCCATGGAAGTCGCTCGTGCGAAGCTCGGTTTTCTCCCTATCACCTCAAGGTCCTGATGTGGGTGTACGCTGGCTAGGCAAATGTGCCTCTACTATGATGTCATCGAGGTGCTCCGACACCTCTCATTTATGTCCTGGAGGTGAGGTGGTGTGCCTTTGCAGCCTCTCTGATCGCCTGAGGCCCTGAGAAGCCGCAACTGTCGCTTGTGCCAAGCGTGCTTTGCGATCCAACAATGGCTCGTCGTCGTTGTCGTTGACCGTGCTGTCCACCTCTTCGACCTTCCTACCCTGATCCTTGACAGGGACTGCACCACTGGTCTCGCCGGATGCACCACCCTGTCCTCTGCCCAACCCTGAATCCCTGGCGGGGATGGAAGGGTCATCTCACTCACTTATGGTGGTGGTGTGTGACTGCAATCCGTTTGG